CGGCTTGTGTACTGCATCATTACTGTGTCTGTTCCCCTTTCGGGCTTGAACTGATGGTAAAACTAATGACATTATTTACTGTCTTTACATTTATTTTGAAAGATGAAGCTCGCGATGATTAAGCTAAGGGGCGTTACATTTCCGACGAGTGCTTGCGGTGTTCGGCCAATCACAATGCACTGGGTCAGCTGGCCAATCAGAGCAGACTGCGCTTGTCGGAAGGAGGGACTTTGTAGAAAACGAAGCGTTTGAGAGGCGGGGCATAGAGGACCTACAATAATGTACAGTAGTTGAAAAATAATGTGTTTTTTGAACATTAAAGCATGTCAACATATTCTGTTACACCAAATACACAAAATAATGATCTTTAAAAAAGCATCATATGACCCCTTTAAGAAATTGTGAATAAAACAAAGATTACTGCAGTACGTTTTACAAGAAAATACTATTTCAGTTTTCTACTTCATTTCATGTTCAACTCAATGTGTTATTTACAGTTTCTTTGTAATTATTTGTGAACTTTACTAGCAATTTCTGAGTGAAATTTGTTTTTTTCAGTGTGCTTATATCAATTGACATTTAAAAGTCAATTACTTTGTTAAAAAAGTGTTTTTCAACTCAAACATCCGTATTTGTCACCACATGCCAATGCAAACATGGTGTACCAATATAAACAATGTAGCCAGTGACACACCTCGGGTGAAATAATATCAAAGGTGACTCACCTTAAAAGAGAAGCAATATTACCTAAACTGTAAAAGACTGCAAAGAGTGTCAGTCCCTTTCTGGGCACCCAAAGCAAGCAGGTTCCCTGAATGACAAAGTAAGGAAAGTGTAGACGTTTGGCTATTGCATGTACAATAAAAATAAAAGGATATAAAACGATTCGTGGACTCGTCGTACCAAAACTGAGCACAAGACGCCAGCCACAAAACACGCGAGGAACGCCTTGACGCGCGTGCCCCATCCCAGTGTTGATGCTTCATTCGCCGCCTAAAACAGCGTTTATATATTCATGTTCACCATAAGAGATTGAAATCAATTTGATATTCATAAACAGGCAGACATCAAGCTGTTGCTAATGACAGTCACGTAAGCACATGCACGCAACTAAACAAGTAGCAAAAGTCTAGATTCGAATTCAAAACGATACCTCATCACTCTGTAGACATAATTAGACTTAAAAACATTACGTTCTAACTCAAGTGTAATGCAGTAGACTGTTCAACTCAACTAACTTAACGTTACCTGCAGTACGTTGAGGTCGTCATTGCCATCTTGGCCACTCAAAACTTTCTTTAATTTGTCCATAAAGGTTCAGGTTGATGGGGTTTTTAAAAACAATCCAAAAAAAGACGTCTCAAGGTGAAAATACTGGCTCGAAGCTACTTCGTTCAAGTAGCTAAATATGTATTGATTCGTTCCCTTTCCTGTTTGAAAGTGTAACAGGTGCATACGATAACTTCCGTGTGTAGCCACGGCAACGTACGCGACGTCATTACGCTCGACGTTCTGAATCGACACAATGGGTCATAGAACGTGTTTTGTTTGCTTTCGTTGTTTAATCTTTAATACGCTCGCATTTTGTATTACATTCACACCGATGGTATAAAGTAGGTATCAAGATGTTTCTAGACGATCCATGTAGAAAACTGAATAAGAGAGGTGTAAAAAGTATTAAGAATGTACTTTTTGGTGGAATTGCATTGCCATTATTTTACTCATTTAAACTTTAAGTATCTAAACATAACATACTCAAGTGAAAGCTTAACTAGGTATTTACATTAAAGTAACTTAAACTGTGCAAAATAACCCCACAATAGCTTGTTTAACCTCAATTGTCTCACTGTTATGCTTTATGTAAGGCTCCAAGACACATCAGATGTTAAATTAAAATTGTTATAGTGTAATTGCACACTATAGTTGTTTAAACTTCGTCACAGACAGTGTTGGGGAAAGTTACTTTTAAAAGTAATGCATTAACAGTAACATCTTCTGATTTCTCTCAACATGGGGACAGGAGAGATGTCAATCAATGAATTGGAAAAAAAAAGTAACTTGCGTTACTTATTTGAAAAAGTAACTCAGATATTCTCTTTATAAATTTACTTTACTAGTTACTTGAAAAAAGTAATCTGATTACGTAACTCGCGTTACTTGTAATGCGTTACCCCCAACACTGGTCACAGACATCATGCAATGACGTTTATAGTGTAAATAAAACCTGCGGCTTTGGGTCAAAAAAACTCAAGGACAAATATGATGACAACATTGAAATCGATTTTATTGGCTGTTTTCAATTAAAGTTTAGTAAACATCACAGGAATGTGATTTTGACTTGTTAGTTTGGTATGAATCACCATAATTCTTTGTCAGGATGATCAGTGAAATACTGTATGAACAAATTCCCCAAGTAGTACTTAAGTATAGTAAAAAAGCACATTTACTCAAATACACACCTGGTAAATGCAGGCCTACACTTTTGTTGATAGTAGTTACATGTTTTGAAAACAGAACATTGCGAGTAGGCCTACTTTGAATTACTAATATAGTGAGGTACATTTTTAAAACTTAAACTTCTGCAGAAAAAGGTATACACAGTAGAAAATAACATATTTTCTTAATATGTAAATATGATTTTAAGAATAAAAACTTTACACTTAGTGATGTTAAAATCATTTAGCCTATGTACAAAGAAATGCTCTACAAATCTGTTTCTCTGAATAACAAAATCTGATTAGTCATATGACCACCTTTTTTGTAGCTGGTTCTTTATCCATTGTCAGTTATCCCCCATCATGTCTGATGTTTTGGTTAGCCATCTGATGTCCAAGGCAGTTTGAATGGGAGCTGGCTGGAAGAGCTCAGGGCACTATTACTCTGGTAGATGTCCAGTACAGGGGCTCTGGCATGGCAACATGCTTTTGACACGTGGGACAGGTCTGCTTGGTCCACAACCATTCCTCTATGCACTACACCAGAGGAGCACGATATTTAGTTACATTCAGCTGTTTTGTACAGTGCTTTGATCAACACATTCTAAAGCAGCTTTACAAAGGACAGTATCTCAATACCCCAGTGAACAAGACACAGGGGACAATGGCAAGTATGAAACTCCCTAAGATGGTTATGGAGAGTGAGGAAGAACTCTCAAGAGAAAACAAATGCTCAGAAGCTAAAAAAATAGCTCATCTGAAAAGTCCAGGTTTTTGGGCCATTTATATTTGGCAATATTTGATTTCTGAAGTTGAATTTGATCATTTACAATACAAGTTTCTAAAGTCTGAACCTTTACCTCACTGTGGAAGCTGTGGGAACAGTGAAGCTCTCTGATAACTGCTCCTCCTTTGCGTAGGTCGTCATGGCAGATCAGACACAAACTGTCTGCATCACTCTACAAAACAAACACCACATTATATCAACCAAATAAATTAGTTTCACCCCACATTATATTTGATCAACATTACAAAAATGCAATTCCATTTCTCAGTTTTCTGTGCCATTGAAATAAAGTGATAGTTCTCCCAAAAATGAACAGCACTGGAGTCCACTGAATGTCATCAAATATCTTCTTTTGTGCAAAAAACAAAAACAAATGATTTTTTTCTTTTTTAGATAAATTGAACAGGATAAAATGAATAAATAAATGAATGCATGAATGAATACAAATTTTAAAATGGGAAAATAAAAGGGGAATTGGAAGTTTTTATCTCACAATTCAGACATTTTTTTTCTCATAGTTCTGAATTGTGAGATATATACTAAAAAAATGCAAGAGAAAAATGTAGATTTGCAAGACATAAACGTGCAATTCCGAAAAATTAATTCAGAATTTTGAGTTATATCTCACTCACAATTTGGACTTTGAAAAGTATTTTTATAAAGTTATTATTCCATGGAGGAAACAACAACAACAACAAAAAAAGAATTACAAGATGCAAACTTCAGAATTTTGAGATACAAAGTCAGAATTGTGATATAGAAAGTTGAAATTAATTTTGGAAACAGGCTGCTTCCATAGAATAGAATGTGAACGTGAATAAGAATTCATACGTAAGTGAAAGTAGGCCTATAATTGCTTTGCAAATATATTACTAAGTCAAAACTCTAAGTATCTAAACAAAACATTCAAACATACTTGATTGAAAGTAAAAAAAAAAGTTGCATAAAAACCTGTTAAAAATTGGTTATATGTTTCTCAACAGGTTGTTTGCTGCTTGTTTTTAGCTTTGTTCATTTAGTTTTAAGCTTCAGGATATAACATATCTCATAGTTCCACTGATATAGCTTCAGATTTCTCTAGCCTTGCCAAAGCATTGTACCATAACAATAAAATGATCTTATCTTATATTTAAATATCTAAATGCTCTTGTGATTGCATAACCTATTGGTAATCATTCACATTTTTACACATAAAAAAAAAATCATATCACACCAACCAGAGACATGACATTGCGGCTCCTAAACCAAGCTTTTCTCTCCAGAGGCTCATGCAGCTCAGGGATGGTTGGGATGGCATGTGGGCGTCGTTCACATGCGCTGCTCTTGGTGTGTGCTCCCTCCTCGCTATTGGTAACATGGCTGGAGCGAGAGCACGGCCTCGCCTCACCGCTCTGAAGCTAGTGGCTCAGGTACGCCGGGCTAGGGCTCGTGGTGGCAGCGTGTAGACGGCTCAGATGCATCGCATTCAGCTGAGCCTGAAAAATGTGCATGCATGCATAAAACTAAGGAAGAGGCACATACAATTTGTTTTCATTATTAAGGAAGATACTACAGTATAAAAGCATTAGTGAAAAGTTTAATTGAAATAAAAAATGTCTTTAAACATTAAAGAACATAAAACAGTATATTTTGAAGAAATTGCTCAGTTTTTTATTTTTGGTTTACACAAATTTCAGCCAATGGGCTCCAACGTTGTTTTATTTGCAACAATATTAAAAAAAATTTTTTTGTTGCACTTCTTGTACATTTAACAATTACAAAAAATGGCAAGTAATTCACTGAATTCAACATGAAATTTTGAAGTGGGTCTGAAATAGTATTTTCTTGTTCAATGTAGTCAAATAATCTTTGTTTTATTTGCAACTTCGAAAAATGCTTACCAAATCTGATAATAGAATTTAATAATTAAAATAATGATAGAATTTCTTTTTTTTTTTGGAAAGAGTATCTCTTTAATGGCAGCAGTGCTTTGTATCAATTCTCACATTGATACAAAAAGCATTGATACAAAATGCTTTGTATCATTCTCACATACAAAGCATTTTATATGATGAGCTCACATGGAATACAAATGCAGAATACATACTTCTTATTACTTTTTAAATCAAATTAAATTTTTGTAAAAGTTCCAACTTCATTGGCATTTTTGATGCAGACATAGCACAAATAGAAACCCTATTATCAAAATGTCTAACTTAATTTTAATCAGTTTTGTTCAAACAGTGAAAGGTAATTTCAGGATAAACTGCTCTTAAGAGTTTGGATTACGCAAAAGTGTCCTGCATTGATCTCTGATATCACTAACCTGTAAATCAAAGTAAAAATTAAAATGCACATTTTGATTCACAGCCTAAATGATAAATTTTTCTGTACGAAATGTGACATAATAATAAAAATGTAGGATCCATTTGTAAGAGAATTGGTCTTCATTACTGTAGGGCAAACTGTTCATTTATGAGCTACATCATGCTTTTATTTTACAGAAGAATATTTTTTAACAAATCAGTGGTATTAAAATAATTATAGATTCAGTCCTGTGAACTAAAAAAACAGAAATAAAAATTAATATAATTCATATAATTGAGTTGAGATGGTCTGAATACTTGCAAGGCAAGTAAGAAAACGTCATAAAAAGTGACACTGCAACACTTTATAAAGTGCTTTAAAACATTTTTACATTCATATACATACACACTGTAAAAAAAATTTTCCTGAGTGAAAATTGTTTCAGCGGCAATTTTTTTTTCCAGTGCGCAAGAATGATACATAGTTATAGATTATAATATATATAGTGTTAAAGCAGCACTATGTAACCTTTTCTGTGTTCAAAATTTGCAAAATTTATATAATGAGCGAGTACATCATGAATTCATCTTCCAAACCGCGTTTTTGTCTTATTCCGAATCACTACGGTACACTTATAATAAGTACTTATATTTGGACTATTGTAGCCTGGTCGGGTCGTCGCCGCTGCGGAGTAACACATACCTGCGTGAATCGCCATAGACATAAACTTAGAGAAGTAGCTCCGGTTGGAATGTTCTTCCGCGGGATGTGTGCAGTTCTGTTTATTAACCGCTAGAGCGCCAAAAGTTACATAGTGCTGCTTTAAAATAAAAATATCAATAAACAAAAATAAAAATGCAAAATTAACTAAGAAGGTAAGCGAATTAAATTGCTTTAGGAAAAGCCCTATTAAGCAAGTGTGCTCTGAGATACTATTTAAAAAGTGTTAATTGAATCAGCTGCACGTTGGCTGTCTGGAAGAGAAATCCAGAGCTTGGCACCATAACAACTGGTGTGTTTCTGCTCCCATTTAAAAGCCTGTATGCCATACAAGTTACACACACACACACACACACACACACACACACACACACACACACACTTATACTGGGTACTAACCGGACATGGAAGTGAAGCTCTGCGACTGGCCAATGATCGACTTGGAATTGGGACATCCCAACTGCTCTTCCTCTCAGCCTCTGGCTCCTCTTCCTTTTGTTCTTCTTCCTCCTGCTCCTCCACATCTTCCTGCCCTTCATATCCTCCCTGAAATGTGGTAAAGATTTCATCTTCCTCTTCCTCGTTCTCCATGTTAAACAACCGTAGCTGTCTCAAGGCTTTGAGACGAATACCTCTGAAAGAGAAACTGCGAGGAGCAGCGGCTTGAGGCTTGGATTGCTAAATAAGCCTCTGTAATTAGATCCCCTGGTTTTCTTATCCCATCTGTTTCCTCTGGAACTCTAAGCCTCATAGAGACGACACAGGGACCAATGCAAGCTCCTTTAACTCCTCAATAATCTGTTCAGGAGAGAGGTGGGGACTTGGAAGAGGAGGGAGGGGATTCTCAAAGCTCTCTGGAAGAAACCCGCTCCAGATCTGTTCAGAATGTGCTAAATACTTTGAACACTGCATGTAGAGCACACTAATACAATGCATTCTCGAGAAAAAAAAAAAATCAGCAAAATGATATCCAGGTTGGTAACTCTGGTATGAAACAAATGTTGCCAAAGAAACATATTTGGTTTCTGTCTTCAGATTAATGAGACGTTAAAATAAAAAAAATAATAAACTTCCTTAAAGAATTTCAGAAAATTTTTTGTTCAGATTTTAAAAAGTCCGGAAAAAACAGAGGAGGGAGGGGATTCTCAAAGCTCTCTGGAAGAAACCCGCTCCAGATCTGTTCAGAATGTGCTAAATACTTTGAACACTGCATGTAGAGCACACTAATACAATGCATTCTCGAGAAAAAAAAAGAAAAAAAAAATCTGCAAAATGATATCCAGGTTGGTAACTCTGGTATGAAACAAATGTTGCCAAAGAAACATATTTGGTTTTTGTCTTCAGATTAATGAGACGTTAAGATAAAAAAAAAAAAAAACTTCCTTAAAGAATTTCAGAAAATTTTTTGTTCAGATTTTAAAAAGTCCGGAAAAAACATGCATAAAAGTAAAACCCATGTTTATTTACCTCATACAACCTACACAAACACGCACCAATAAACTTCCTTAAAGAATTTCAGAAAATTTTTTGTTCAGATTTTAAAAAGTCCGGAAAAAACATGCATAAAAGTAAAAACACGCACAAACTGAGTGTGAAAGGCATCAGTGAACTGGATTATCATTTAAGTAGATACTATAAATGTTAAGCACCTTAGAGAGTGCATTCAAAGGGGCGTCTAAAATTGGACCCCACAGATACATGTTACCCACATGGACTGAAAACCAAACAGAGTGAACATCATCAACAATAGATGAAGTCATGACAGGACATTAGACGTTACTAAAATTAAGTGTGACTCATTGGACAGGTAATGCTATAATCTATTGAGCCACTTAGTCTTTGATTATATCAGTCTGCCCGTTTGACAAATATCCAAGAACAATCAGGAAAGAAGTTTAGTTTTTGGCATTTCAGTAGTTTGATGTAATAGTAAAGTTGCAAGTAACATTATTTTGAGACATGTATCAAACTAAAACCTAAATATGGATTGCCTGTAGATGGCAGCATTGCACAAAACATTGTTTCCTCACAGTTTAGGGACTGTCATAAAAGACTAAAAAAATATCAATATGTAAACATCAAAAACAACAAGGCTTCCATTAAAAAGATACACTGTAAGAAAGATGCTGCATTTGTATGTAATGTTTATGGCAGATTTAAAGGTCACGTCTCTTTTTTAAGAGTGTTTGATTGAGTCCAATAACCAGCTGGGTGAATTCATTGCTGAAAGCCCCCACAAAATCTGCACAGATGATGTTGACACATGATTTTCCCAGGCCTGGACACTGTTGTTTGACCCAGTTCAAAAGCAGACTATAGGAGCTCAAGGTCATGCTTTGTAATGACTGGCACGGATGAGAAAGAACATACTTGGCATCCTCAGTTAGGTTCAGACCAGCAGCAAAAAACTGACCTGAAAACAAATTCAGGGCAATTATTTAGGGAAAACAAGCTTTAATGAAAGATATTTTCTTTCCTTCCTACCGGCTTCTTCTTCTGAGACAAAATTTCTAACTCCTCCTTTAGGCTACAACCATCAAACTCAGACCTTCAGACTGTACTGACTTGGTATGCTATATTTTCTAACTGATCATACATATGATTTTCAAAAACCAGATGATCAAAACTATGAAGAATCCCAGAGACTTTAATTGAGAGGACAAAACTTTCACACATTAAATCTAATAGTGTTTTTAAGCTACATTCAACAATTTAATCAAAGATCAGTCTAATATCTATTTATCTAAATCATACTAGCAACATGCTAAAACATGTTAACAACATGTTAAATCATGCTAGAAACATGCTAAAGCATGCAGTGTTGTAATAATGCTAGAAACATGCTATAAATGTTCAATAATGCTAGAAACTTGCTAGAACGTTTTAAATAATGCTAGCAACATGACAGCAATGTGCTAAAGCTTGTAAATGACAGCTTGTTGCTAGTAATGAATGTTTCTAAATCATGTTAGAAATATTCTAACGTGTTAAATCATGATAGAAACATGTTAGTAATGTGCTAATTTATGCTAGGAAAGTGCTAAATCATGCTAGCACATTTTCAAACATATTAATGTGTTAAATCATGGTAGTAACATGTCAAGTCATGCTAGTAACTTGCTAACAATGTGCTACATAATGCTTGAACCATGTTAGCAGTAATGTACTAAATCTAGCTAGCAACATGCTATATCATGCTAGTAAGATGCTAAAACTTGTTTGCAACATTTTATTGACTTTCTCAGAGAAAAATCTTCAAACTTCAAACCTTGCAAAATTGTTTCAAACTTTCAAACAAGCCTTTGTCAAGCCAACATCAAAGTTTGTCATCTAACTTTATTTACCTGGTTTTGTAGCCTAATTATTACCGACCTGGTCTTCCTTCTGTTTTTCTCTCCTCCAGGTAGGATATGACATGTTTTGGATCTGATGTATTTGCCCACCAATATTCACACTGTGGCCACAATTCCTCATATTCAGACGCAGATGAGTCATCATATGACAGAATAACCTGATAATTGTGATTCCAACACTGCAGTAGTGAGGGTATAATCTGAAAAAAAAAATAAAAATAAAATAATAATAGAGAGATTACTGAGATATACACTGCGTCCGAAAATGCCTACTATATATAGTATGTGAGAAACAGTACACGAAAAAAGTAATATGTCAGAAGTCATAGTAGGCGAAAAGTATCCGGATAACCAACTACTTGCACTGAGATTCTGAAGTGTGCATTTGATTGACACTTTAATATCCCATGAGGCAACAGGAGATGATTTGTGAATGGCAGTGAAGTATCACAATTGATGCTGGTTGATCACATGACAGTAACAACACGGTGGATGTAGTATGTCCAAATTCCATTCATATGACATTTTTTAATGGTCATAAAGTAATTTTCAAACCAAAACATTGCACCTACTAGACAGTATGTAATTTTAGATGCAGATATAGTGTCTAAAAAGGTATTGTGGCCATGAATTAAGAATTTGTTCCAATGTTTAATGTAAATCGTTGTCACGATTTTACTAAATTAAACCAAGGGCACACATTAGTACATTATGGACACAATTTAAATAAAATAAGTAAAACATTTTTGAAAAAGGTAGCCATGAATTAATAATTTGTGGGAATGAAATCTTAATTAGTGGTCACAGTATCTACTTTTGTCCAGAATGTTATATGCAGTGCTCTGTACCATTCAGAATTGTTTGTTACATTTATGTTACATAAAGTAATGACAAGACATACATCAAGATTCAAGGTATTTCATAAAATGTGCATATGTTTTAAAATACATGGAAATTACTTACATGATTGGGACAAATTTTATTGTCAAATGTGCTTATGAGGAATTGAATGAGGTCTCTGTGTTGATCCAGGTTCATGCCATCAAAGGCAGAAAGTGCAATAATGACCACTTCCTTGGTGTGCTGATCTAACCAGCGAGCAACTTCTGTGAGCACTTCCTTAAAATAACAAAACCAGAACACAACCAATGTTATTCTCGACTTGGAATGAGGAATTAACATTCTTCTAAAATTCCGATCAACCATACCTTCACTGTCAGAAGGGAGTAGATCCCATGTGCAAAGTAGAAAACTTTATCAGGGTCTTTTATCTTATGAGCTATTCTTAAATCGAGAAACCGAATGCCTAAATCCAGCTGGTTAGAGATGCTATCTTCCTGGATAAGAAAGAAAAGAATAAGCCATGTAAAATGCTGTATGTCATCAACACCCATCCTTTTGTCATAATTTGTCCACACTTAAGTAGATTTAAACCTACATGACTTCTGTGAAACACCAAAGGAGGCAAAATTACTCAGTCACCATTCAAGGAATAGTTCACCCAAAAATTTTAATTCTGTCATAATTTACTCACCCTCAAGTTGTTTCAAACCTGTATAAGTTTCTTTCTTCTGCTGAACACAAAAGAGGATATTTTGAAGAATGTGTGTTCCCAAACAACTGACGGTAACCACTGACTTCCATAGTATTTTTTTTTCCATATTATGGAAGTCAATGGCTACCGTCAACTGTTTTGTTCCTCAGAATATCTTCTTTTGTTTTCAACAGAAGAAAGAAACTCATACAGATTTAGAACAACCTAAAGGTGAGTAAATGAAGACAGAATTTTCATTTTCGGGTGCTATATCCCTTGATTTACTTTTGTCATATGCAATGAAAGTGCAATGAAGGTGACTGAGGCTGTTATTCAATGATGACGCTCTGAAGAAATCAATCGTACAACTTTAGAACAACAAAATATTAAATTTTCGTCTGTACTTGTGTTGTCGCCCATTTGATAATACAGGGCCGAACGATACAAGGAAACCAAGTGTCTAACACTTGCAGCAACCTCGGCGAAGACTTCAGTACTGAGGACCGCTCATCTAAACAGTAAGTCATGGTGTCATGACTTCCTGAAAAACAGTAAAACAGATGCTGAAATGATTAAGCAGTAAAAAATGTGGAAGATTTTCTATGAGTATGTCGATCTCGTGACACTTTTCGTTTCTTGAATGGCAACAATGTCAGGGACCGTCTAAAAGTGCGATTTGTTTCCGTTTTGTTGAAGAGACCCAAAACAACAACACTGGCTCACATTGGAATTTTGTATTATTTATGTGAGAATTTTACTTTGGTTATTTGTTTAATAAGTTAAATATTCAAATTTTGCCGTAGCCAACCATAGATTCCCATATATATACTAGCCTTGTCATCAAAAACGAATAAAAAAATACAGAAAGATTCTTAAAGCTTCTTATACCATTTGAAGGAGATCTCATGCTGACTCAGAATACCCTCTTCATGAACCATTGTCAGCATTGTTGAGCTGAATGATATCTTGAGCAAAGCACTCCAACAAAATCTCCAGCAATGATATTGACACTTTCTTTGTCAGAGCCTGGACGTTGCTCCTTCACCCAGTCAAGCAACAGAGGGTAGGCCGTCATGGTCTTCTCTTTTAAAGACTTTGTGAGGTACAGGAGCATGTCATTCCCATCAAAAGTCAGGTTGAGACCAGCAACAAACAATCCCTCTGTTGGCCAAATGGACACATAAAGGGCAAGGGATAAAACTTTTTTTTTTCCTTGAAGCATTTTGTTTAAACCAATCAGACTTCAGTAAATGTAAGGTATTTTTAAGCTATTGGCATCTCTTAGCTCACCTGGTCTTCCATTTTGTTTCTGGTTATTAAGGTTTGAAATGACCTCCTTGGGGTCCGAATTATCGGCCCACCAGTACTCGATTTGAGGCCACAAAACAGGATTGTCGACACTTCTGTTGTCATAAGAGAGGATGACCTGGTAGCCACTTTCCCAGCAGTTCTTGAGCGAGGGCTTCACATAAATTGGAAAAAAAAACTGTTGGAACTATTTGCATAATATGCTGAGGTCCCTGAATGAATTATTTCCCTCAGTTTTTGAGGATATGGCAAATGGTATGTACCACTTGAGGCTTAGGACAGAGTTTTGTTTTGAAGTGCTCTTTGAGGAAGTTGGTCAGGTCGGTGTGTTGATCGGCTGACATTTCTTTGAAATGCGAGAAAGCAATTTCTCGCAAACCTCCTTAGTATGCTGGCCTAACCATTTCTCCAGTCCTGTCATTCCCTTCTGTGGTGATTCAAGGTTAGCTGTCATTACAGTTTTCCCATTAAGCTGTTGAATGCAATTAATGTAAAAAGAATAACATGAAAATGAATCAGGGTAATAACCTTCACAGTCATTGTTGTGTATAGTCCATGATAGAAGAATAAATCACTTTGTTCAGGCTTCTCAGCAACCCTCAGATCAAAGTATCGCAAACCCGCATCAAGCTGCTCAGAGATGTTTTTTCCCTAGACAATCACTTGAAAACATGAACTTAGACTGGCTTCTGACATTTATTGTGATATTACTGTATTTTAATAGGTACTTTACCTGGGCAGAACCCCATTTTTTGACAATGGGCCTTAAGAAAGTACTGAACATCTTGTCCAAGGCCTTTATTTTTTTAGGTTCCAGTACTGAAGAGTCCGTATCCAAGCTGTATGCCATAGCGTCATGGCTCCCTAAAAGAAATGTCTGTTCTGTTTCAGTTTTTGGCTCTCTTCAAGTCACACAGCATCCTATGTTCACTTCATGTTTGTTGTATGTGATGATACGCTAATATAATGTAAGTTTGATGGATAGTCTGGAAAATGTGTATATGATTTTGATATGTAAGTCACTTTGAATAACTGTATAAATGCTAATGAATTAATCTATTAGCTTTAAGTTGGAAGATGGTTATTAATATCTGAGAGCTTTGAATAATAGTTTGACAGATGTTGTTAATATTCACATTACTTACCGTAAATAGCAAGTTGGCTCAAGGGGATTTTGTGAATTTCTCATTAAGGTTAGACATCCAGTCAGCTGTTTCAGCCATTTTCTTGTTCTTATCCAATTTTTCAGTGGTACAAATGCCTAGGTGAAAAAAAGACGTTTTGTGGTTTACAGCTATCCAAGCAGACCATTTAGGTAAGTATTATCACATCATACCTTTTTCTGTCCTGTTTGTGTTTGACAATCACAGCATTCTGATTGCATTGTTTTTATATGTAGTATACACTTTTAAAAATAAAGGTGCTTCAAAAGGTTCTTCAAGCGATGCCATAGAAGAACCATTTTTGGTTCCAGAAAGAACCATTCAGTCAAAGGTTCTTTAAAGAACCATTTCTTTCTTACCTTTTTATAATCTGAAGAACCTTCTTTCGCCACAAAGAACCTTTTGTGAAACCGAAAGGTTCTTCAGATGTTAAAGGTTCTTTATGGAACCATTTAGACCAAAAGGTTCTTCTATGGCATCGTGAAGCACCTTTATTTTTAAGAGTGTAGACAACACCCTCTGGTTGGGTCATTATGAATTGCTCATCCATATTCAGTGCGTCCCTCCCAGGTTTTCTTTCAGTTCCTCTAGATTTTACGGCTGAGAAGAGAGAGGTCAACAAATTCACCTCAGTATAAAAACTACTCTCTAAAAGACTCTCTCCTGCCCTTTTTCCAGCAAATACAAGAATTTCCCAATAACGTTTAGCGTCACTAAGACATTTATTCATTGAAAGAAGGCAATTCTTTTATTAGGCACATTAGTGACATTAAAAACGGCAACAAATTCTATTTCAAATAAAAGTTACCCATCAGAAACCTGAAAAAAAAGCATCAGTTTCCACAAACATATTATGCAGCTGTTTTCAACATTGATAATAATAACTGGCGCATAATCATTTTTGAGTACCAAATCAGAATTAGAATGATTTCTGAAGGATCATATGACACTGAAGACTGAAAATTAATCTTTGCCAATAAATGACATAAAAAAAACAGTAATTGTAATAATATTATTACTGTTTTATATGCAACCTTTGCTGAACATAAGGCTCAAGAGTTTCCCCAAATTGTTTGTTTTCAGTTTCTTTATAAAAACACCCATTCTGGCCCCTATAAATGTTATTTCTTTATTCAATCTAAAATGTTCCAAACAGTTTTATGATAATTTGCAGTTCTCGCCAACACAGCTAATTCACTTCCTTTGGCAGAGGTTATTTTAAACTGTTTGCAAACGTTGCCATTTTGTAGCATTGGCAAACAAACTTAACAAGTCTGTACAGGGGAATGAATGAAAGTGAATATGCAAAAGAACGTCAATGTATGACACCAAAGCACAACGGTTATTTCTATGACCACACATATCACCAAAAATGTTAAGTCTTTATTCGCATCTGTTTTTTATTGTTTGTCTTATATATGTAGTACAAAAGGCTGCCGATTATGTTACTGTTTGAGTGAACTAAACAAAATATATTTATTAGGAGGTGGAGCTTGTTTTAATTATTTATCCTCAAAAACCCCATTTAAACTCTTGAAGTCTACAATTCCAGAGATCATTTAAATTCGAAACTTTTATCTTATTATTTCAGGTTATGCTGAAAGATTCACAAAAACAGCAAACCAACAAACAAAACGAATGAATCCATTCAACCTTTGCACCAAAACCTGTAGATTTACTTAGTATCCTTAAAGTCAACATGAAACCGATCCTATTCACCCCTCTTTAGTGCATGGTCTGAAATGACTTTTCAGCTGATGCCACAAATCCCACTTTCTTCTCAGCCTCTTCCAACCAGCATTCTGGCTTATAACAGCTACTTTTACAACCCAATCAATTCCCACTAAAATCAAGTCCTGTTCCACATTTTCTCACTGAAATCGTTTTACTCTGAAATACAGATTATGGATGTAAAATAGTTTGTGAGTGGTTTGTCATTTTGACTTGGAAGGGAAATTTAAAAAATGTCAATCATAATTACATACATTTTAAAATCATGGTTGTCTGACTCACTTCAGCAGCAGAGCCAAACCAACATCACATTTGTGGTTAATATACATTACAGGTTACCCTAAATGACCCAAAAACACATCACTTGAAATAATCTCCTAACATGTGTGCAAAGTCACATATTGCTCTTTGTGTAGTTAATATAAATTAAATTAAATTAAAATTCATATTATTCCACATACAATTACATCTTTGATTTTAGTCATGTAGACAAAATGCTTGTGTCTAATAATTAGAATAATAATTGTCTAATATTAGAAATGTAAATTACTAAATTATAAAATTAAATTATAGAAATGTCTAATATTATGGAAATTAAAGTAAGATTTTCTACCATTATATGAGGTGCGAGTATCACACATACTCTAACTGCATGATTAGAACTCTATTGTTGTATCGTGACTGCAAAATGATCATGACGCTTTTAATAACAATAATTTTTCCTTGGTTTTCATCCAGTGTATGAGAATGGTGGGATGCCCTTGACTCCTAAACCAGACACCTATGATAGGAATAAAGCATATAATTAATGTCATTATGTGTCGGAGTTGATGTCATGCTACTTTGAGCATGATATGAAACAAGATGTCTACCTTAAATGTGCAGCCAGCTTCAGGATGCTTGGCCAGTGAATCTGCATCCATGCCTGCATACGCTGAGGTGACATAGAGATCACTGTAGTCTTTCCCTCCGAAACAGCATGAAGTGGTTTTCTCAGCTGGTAGTTTCACTGTCTGCAGCCGTTTGCCTGAGAATGGAAGCTCATTACTGTTCAACAACTAAAAGATTGGACTGATCTTTGATTTTCATTCAGACTTTCTATTTATATTCAGCTGTCAGGGTTCTGGACTGTCTGTGTGTGTTTTGCTCCCCATGACCCAGTTTCTCCTCGTGTTAATTGTGTTAATTTGATTATGATTCCATGCACCTGTGTTCCCCTGATTGCCCTGTGTTTATTAGCCCCAGTCTGTGTAGTCTTCCTTTGTCGGTTCTACTCGTTACGTTGAGAATTTGGCTCCTCATGTTTCAACCATGTTTTGACCAAATCTTAGATTGTCTGATTCGGTCTGATACCCTACACCTGTATTTAAGACTTAGTCTGTACAGTCTGTCTCTGTCGGTTCTACTCGTTACGTTGATGTGTTTCCTGCTGTCTCCAGTGTTTATGTACCCTGTGTTCCATGGATTAAAGACGGTTTCGTTTATTCCTCGTCTCCATCGTTCTTCGCCATCACAGAGT